GCCTTTTTTGTACATTCCTTTTTCTCTGTTGTTCCCTTGTGGCTTATTTTCATTTCTTTTCTCCTCCGTATTCTTTAGTACTCTTGTCTGTCCCCTTCTTTTTGCACCCCTTTCCACTTGGGTGTGTGTGTGTGTATATATGTTGACATAAGAAAGGCTCACGCGGCTGTCACTAGCCTGTTGAAATCTAGAATGCTAATCTTCCTTTTATGCATCTAACAGAAACAAATAGAGAAAAATTATGGTTAATCTTGTGTGTTCTTTTCATATGTTTTTGTTAGATTGAATCATATGAGGTTGTCAGTATTGTTTTGATCTACAGAAATAGATTTAACTTAATACTTCCCTAAGCATCCTGCAGCCCAAAAGTAGGATTTGGAAATTGTTTGGATGAGAGGCCTGAGCAATGAGAATTAGATATCGCAGAGGTTCTGGCTTAACTGAGTAGATGAGAATGCTGTCATGCTGTTAATACCGTCGACCAAAGTGGAGACAATTGTGAAGTGTACGTTGTGTTTGTTTTTAAGGGGAAGGCTTGGTGGGGTTGGGAGGGGGAGCATAAATAATCACTTTTATTTTGGGGTGTAGTGGGATACAGTAAGGAGAAATGGCCAGTAGACAGAAATATAGATTTGTAAATAGATGAGATCATTAACATGTAGTGGTGCTTGAAATGTGAATGTGACAGAAGTTACCCAGCGAGAGTATAGAGTGGGAAGAAAAGAGATCCTATGGCTTCTCTTCAGGACTGGGAAGTGGGTCATGCCAAGAAACCTCAGATAAGGGCTATACGTAGAAGAAAAAGTATATATCATCTTAGAATGATTCATTCGTATGTAAAATTAAGAATTAACTACCTAGCCTTGGAAGGTTATATTTCAAATATGATTCACTTGCATATGAATGTGTTAAAACATAAGTAGAGGTTTTCATGTTTCCCCATAAGAGATTGAATTATTTTACTGTTTGTATCTGTGAATGAATATAAGCTCTATAGTTTGAGATTGTTGTAAGATATACCTACCTTACTTCTAATATCTTTCTTCTTCCTTCTCCTCCCTCCCTTTTTCTTCCTTTCTTCCTCTTCCTTCCTTCTTTCCTTCCTCCCTCCCTCTCTCCCTCCCTCCATTCCTTCCTTCCTTCTATCCTTATTTGAACAGTGTATCATGTGGACAGCCACTGTGATTATTATCATTGCTACAGTCTTAAAGTGTTAAGTTCGCTGTAGTATTTAATCTGGGGCCCGCTCTGCCTGTCCCATCAACCCCCAGAATCCGTTGAATTAAAGCCACACAGGGAACTTTTCCAACGTGAAACAGACTCTCCAGGCAATGTACTGGAGGGAAGGAGTACAGCACTACTGTTCTGCTTGAGAGCATGGTCATAGTCCTACAAATTACTGTTACCTAAAAGGCATGATAAACTTGGTTATTTAAAATTCTCATCAACCTGGGACACCTGGGTGGCTCAGTTGGTTGAGCATCTGACTCATGATTTTGGCTTAGATCATGATCCCAGGGTCATGGGATTGAACCCTGTGTTGGGCTCTGTGCTGAGCATGGAGCCTGCTTAAAATTAAAATTCTCTCTCTCTCTCTCCCTTCCCCCTCTGCCCGTCTTCCCTGCTTGTGCACTCTGTCTCTCTCTAAAATAAAAAAATAGCAGTGCTTGAGTGGCTCAGTCCATTGAGCAGCTAGCTGACTCTTGGTTTCAGCTCAGGTCAAGATCTCACAGTTTGTGGGTTTGAGCCCTGCATCAGGCTCTGTGCTGATAGCTCAGAGCCTGGAGCCTGCTTTGGATTCTGTCTCTCTCTCTCTCTCTCTCTCTCTCTCTCTGTCGCTCCCCTGCTCTCGTTCTGTCTCTCTCTCTCAAAAGTAAACATTAAGAAAGAAAGAAAGAAAGAAAGAAAGAAAGAAAGAAAGAAAGAAAGAAGGAAAGAGAAAGAAAGAAAGAGGAGGAAAGAAAAAAATAGACAATCTAGCGTGGTCATGAAGAGCACAGTCCTTGGACAGAGTGCCTAGGTCCACATTCCAGCTCCACCATTTACAAGCTACTACAGCCTGAGAAGTACTTCTCCAGAATTTCATACTGGGAACCCCTGTTGTATTGTTTCCTATTGTTGCTGTAACAGGTTACTACAAACTTGGTGGCTTGAAACAACACAAGTTTATTATATTATAATTCCGGGGTTCAGAAACCCAAATTAGATTTCACTGGGTGAAAATGGTGGTGTTAGCCAGGGCTGCATTTCCATCTGGAGGCTCTAAAGGGGAACAAGTCTTGGCCTTTTCTAGGTCCTAGAGGCCGCCCACTAATTTTTTTGTAAATGTTTATTTATTTTGAGGGGGAGAGAGCAGCAGTGGGGCAGAGACTCCCAGACAGGTTCTGTACCGTCAGTGCAGAGCCCTACTCAGGGCGCCATCTCACAAACCATGAGATCATGACCTGAGCTGAAACCAAGAGTTGGATGCTTAACTGAGTGAGCCAACCAGGCACCCTGGGTCCAGCCACTTCTTGACCTTCTTCACCCAAACCAGCAATTTATCTTTCTGTAGCTGTAACATAGCAACACCTATCTCTGATTCTCATCATGCTCTGCCTCCTCCATTTACTTTTTTTTGTTTTTAATTTTAGAGTGGGCGGGGGAGGGGGGGGGAGAGAGAGAGAGAGAGAGAGAGAGAGAGAGAGAGAATTTTAAGCAGGCTCCATGCTCAGCATGGAGCCCAACATGGGGCTTGATCCCACAACCCTGGAATCATTTCCTGAGCTGAAATCAAGAGTGGGACACTCAACCACCTGGGCCATCCAGGTGGCTCCTTCTACTTTTAAGAACACTGGTGGGGAGCCTGAGTGGCTCAGGCGGTTAAGTGTCCATCTTTGGCTCAGGTCATGATCTCACAGTTTGTGGGTTTGAGCCCCATGTTGGGCTCTGTGCTGACAGCTCAGAGCCTGGAGCTGCTTTGGATTCTGTGTCTCCCTCTCCCTCTGCCCCTCCCCAGCTCTTGCTCTGTCTCTCTCACTTAAAAATAAGCATTAAGGGGCGCCTGGGTGGCGCAGTCGGTTAAGCGTCCGACTTCAGCCAGGTCACGATCTCGCGGTCCGTGAGTTCGAGCCCCGCGTCGGGCTCTGGGCTGATGGCTCAGAGCCTGGAGCCTGTTTCTGATTCTGTGTCTCCCTCTCTCTCTGCCCCTCCTCTGTTCATGCTCTGTCTCTCTCTGTCCCAAAAATAAATAAACGTTGGAAAAAAAAAAAAAAAAGCATTAAAAAAAAATTAAAAAAAAAAAACAAAACACTAGTGATTACATTGGCTCCACCCAGCTAATCCAGAATAATCTCCCTATTATAAGATCAGCTATAAGCACAACTCAGCACAGAAGCCAAATAATCCAAATGAAATGAGCAGAAGATCTGAATAGGCATTTTTGCAAAGAAGACGTACAGATGGCAAATGAATACAGGAAATGATGCTCAACATCACTAATCACCGGGAAATGCAAATCAAAACCACAACGAGATATCACCTTACACCTGTCAGAATGGCTAGAGTCAAAAAGACATGAAATAACAAGTGTTGGTAAGGACGTGGAGAAAAAGAAACCCTCATGCACTTTTTTTTTTAATTTATTTTTTAAATAGAGATAGTGTGTGCAGGCAGGGGAGGAGGGACAGAGAGAAGAGAGGTGAGAGGAGAGAGAGAATTTTAAGCAGGCTCCACGCTCTGCACAGAGCCCAACTTGGGGCTTGATCCCAAAACCTGGGATCATAACCTGAGCCGAAATCAAGAGTCAGGCACTCAACCGACTGAATCACCCACGTGTCTCCCTCACATACTACTATCGGGGGGAATGAAACTGGTGCAGCCACTGTACAAGACAGTATGGAGGTTCCTTTAAAAATGTAAAATAGGAATACCAAATGACCCAATAATTCTACTACTGGGTATTTACCCAAAGAAAATGAAAACACTCATTTAAAAAGATATGTGCTCCCCTGTGTTTGTTGCAGCATCATTTACAATACTACCGAGCTACAAAAAAGGGAATGAGATCTTGTCATTCATGACAACATGGATGGATCCAGGGGCTATTATGCTAAGTGAAATAGGTCCAACAGAGAAAGACAGATACCATATGATTTCACGTATATGTGGAATTTTAAAAACAAAAAGCAGAAACAGATCATAAATACACAGAACAAACTGATGGTTGCCAGAGGGGAGTGGTGGAGAGAGGTAGGCAACATGGATAGAGGGGAGTGGGAGATACAGGCTTCCACTTATGGAATGAGTAAGTGACAGAGGTAAAAAAGCATGGGGAATATATATAGTCCGTGGTATTGTAACAATGTATGGTGACAGATGGTAGCTACACTTGGGGTGAGCATAAGATACAGACTTGTGAGTCACTGTGTTGTACACCTGAAATTAATGTAACATTGTGTGCCAATTATACTTCACTAATTTAAAAAAGTTTTTTTTAAAGGTCAGCTGATTAGCTGCCTCAATTCCTCTTTGCCAGGAAACCTCTAACATTCACAGGTTCCAGGGATGAAGGCTTAGACATCTTTGGAGGACCACTTTTCTGCGTTCACAACTAGATTTAAATTCTAAAAGTTACATTAAGGCAGCTAAGGCCAGGAGAAGATGATCCCAAAGTGGAGAATGCTGAGAATTAGGAGTATGACCAATAATTGAGTTTAAGCTGAAAGGAACTGCTGAGCAACACATATATATGTTGTAAAATTCTCTTACTGGCATAAAGCATATATGGTAGATTCAGTATTCAAGACCGATTGAATCAGAAGGAGGCAACTAAGTTTTAGCCATATCATGGCAGGGAAAGATTAAAATATTAGAATAGATTTTATTTTTTTTTCTTTTGTGCCAGCCCTAAAAGGGAAATGTTCTTGATTTAATCATAATTTTGAGAAGCTTTGGGTTTAATTTTAATTCTTTGTATTTTTCTTACAGATTTGTACTGCACTTTGAATGCTCCTCCTGACATGGAGAGGATTGAGGAACAATTCGCTAACCTGAACATTGTTAAACGTTCCTCGGGGACTACAGAGCCTACTTACCTGCTGGGTATAGATGCATCAAAAACCGTACAAGCAGAAAAAGAAAGCTTGATCGCTGTTTTATGTTCTAACGGATCAATCAGAATCTACGATAAAGAGAGGTTATACATACTACGAGAATTTCATGGCTATCCTGGACTTCTCAATGGAGTCAAATTTGCAAATTCTTGTGACAATATATATTCATCATGTACTGACGGCACTGTAAAATGTTGGGATGCTCGATTAGCCAGTGAAAAACCTGTCCAGCTGTTCAAGGGTTACCCTTCCAATATTTTCATTAGTTTTGATATCAGCTGTAATGATCACGTCATTTGCGCTGGTACAGAAAAAGTTGATGATGATGCATTGCTGGTATTTTGGGATGCAAGAATTAATTCTCAGGATTTGTCTACTTCTAAAGACCCACTTGGAGCATATTCAGAGACACACAGTGATGATGTCACTCAAGTACGCTTCCATCCCAGCAATCCCAACATGGTGGTCTCCGGTTCAACTGATGGCCTGGTGAATGTATTTGATATTAGTATTGATAATGAAGAAGATGCACTGGTTACGACCTGTAACTCTGTTTCTTCCGTAAGCTGTATTGGTTGGTCTGGGAAGGACTATAAACAGATTTATTGCATGACGCACGATGAAGGATTTTGTTGGTGGGATCTTAATCATCTGGATACTGATGAACCAATTACACGTTTGAACATCCAGGATGTCAGAGAAGTAATTAATGTGAAAGGAGGCATTTTGGACTATTTGGTTGGTGGCCTGTATCACGAAAAAATGGACAAATTGTTTGTTGTTGGGGGAACAAACACAGGAATTATTCACTTACTGAGCTGTACTACAGCAGGATTGATTCATGTGACCAGCCTTCACGGAGGGCATGCTGCTACAGTCCGTTCTTTCTGTTGGAATATGCAGGATGATTCTTTGCTAACCGGAGGGGAAGATGCACAGTTGTTACTTTGGAAACCTGGAGCATTAGACAAGACATTTACAAAGAAAGACAGCATGAAAATAGCATCCTCTGTGTACCAGCGAGTTCGAGTTCACAGTAATGATTCTTACAAGAAAAGGAAGAAGCAGTGATGTGATGTTGGGAGCTTCCTTGAAAGGTTTTATAGTCGCAAGTAATTATCTTTGTGTTCTACCTGTGATAGATCTGTTTAAAGCTCATATGTAAAAACAAGCCAGTTAGCAAACAATCCTGGAAAAACGCTGAAAATGGTTTAATTCAGGTCTTCATGTATTCTAAAATTATTTTTTTTAAAGCTGCCAGTTGAGTATATAATCAGTGAGTTGAAAGTAAAATTACATTCCTCATTTTTAAAACCCATCTGTTGAGTTAGTAAATGTTGGGTTTAAGAAATAGCTTTGATAAGGACTTTTTAGAAGTAGATGGCTGATATGACTTTAAAAAATCAGGTGGTTTGAGCTATATTTTGTAAGCTCAGTTTTTTACATTTTAAATCGTCTTCATTATTTATAAAACCAATCAGACTGTTTTCTGTCAGAGCTCCTACTTGCTTAATACACATAGATTATGTTGGAGTATTTAAATGTAAATATTCTAATGATTCTAAATAGTACTAAGCTTTTTTAGAAATAAAGTGATTTGCGTCTATTTAAAAATATATATTTAGTAAATATTTGCATCTATATTTTAAAATGGTTAAATAGTAAGCAGGTATTTCATTGAGGAAAAAGAAATTATCTTGCAAAATTCATTTTGGGTCCGTGGAAATACAACAATGAAAGTATAATAGCAGAATGACTTTTTTATTTCAAAGTAGTCTATTATTTTGTGATAAAATTTTCTTTCATAGTGCTTTATCCATATTTTTAAACATAAGAGCCCATGGGGAGTGGGGGCCATGCAAGAGTTGGCCGCCAGAGCTTAAAGGGGGACACCACCATAATCTAATTTAAACGTGAATTTTTGTTTACTGCTAATTTTTTCATCTTTCTACGTATTTTTCCAAGGTATCCTAATAAAAAGCTGGTCACTCTAAAGGTTTAGTATGTTCTTACGTTTAATTAAAAATAAAAATATCTTTTTATGGATAAAAATATTTATAAAAATATTTTAGAACGTTTTTATCTTTTGAACTAAAAATATGCTTGAAAAATACAAGCATTACTTTAGAACCTTTTACATTTCTCTTTAAATGTTAATAGTGACTTATCTCTGCAAGTAGCAGTGGGGGAACTTTTTATTCCATAGAACAATGCAACTTCTATTTAGGTATGATCTTGCTTAACTCACTTGAGACTGAACAATACGCATAGTTAAGTCACTCTTAAACATATTCAAAATGGCGTCTGGGTGGCTAAGTCGGTTGCACGGCCGACTGCGGCTCAGGTCATGATCTCGCGGTCTGTGGGTTCGGACCCCATGTTGGGCTCTGTGCTGGCCGCTCAGAGCTGGGAGCCTGCTTCCGATTCTGTATCTCCCTTTCTCTCTGCCCTTCCGCTGCTTGTTCTCTGTCTCCGTCTCTCTCTCTCTTTCAAATAATAAACATTTAAAAAAATTTAAAAAACATATTCAAAATAGATAATTCTTATTTGGAAAAATTCAGCTCTTCTTGCTGTTGTTCAAACCATAACCCGGTGGTTAATTCTGGACTTTATTCTTTTCCCCTAACCAGTCGATCACCAAATCCTTTGCCATTCCACCTCCTAAAATCTGTCTTCTGTTCTTTTGCCTTTACCCCACCACTATCGCCTTAAATAAGAGTTTCATCATTTCTCACCTAGATTACAGACCCTGTCTCTCCAGTTTGTTCTTCCCACTGTTTCTAGGCTGACCAGAGAAAACACAGATTTGATAATGCCTCATGCTGCTTAAAATCTTTGGTACATTTTGATCTTTTGATGGAGCAAGCACTATATAAAAATGAAAAACCATATTTCTAAGATACTTAGGATTTGAGACAGTGCTGACTATGTAAGTAGAAATGCAAGAGACCTTGCATGTATAACACAACAGGAAATGAAACAGTTATCAAAACAGTATAAGCTTTCAAAAATATTTAAAATTTAAAAGTAATTAATAGGGGGGCGCCCGAGTGGCTCAGTCAGTTGGGCGTCTGACTTCGGCTCAGGTCATGATCTCACGGTCGGTGAGTTCGAGCCCCGCGTCGGGCTGTGTGCCGACAGCTCGGAGCCTGGAGCCTGCTTCGGTTTCTGTGTTTCCCCCTCTCTCTGCCCCTCCCCTGCTCATGCTCTGTCTCTCTCTGTCTCAAAAATAAATAAAAACATTAAAAAAAAAATTTTTTTTAAAGTAATTAATAGGGTTGGAAGATGGAGATGAGGAAATGTCTTTGAAAGTAGACCCTCAGGGGCGCCTGGGTGGCGCAGTCGGTTAAGCGTCCGACTTCAGCCAGGTCACGATCTTGCGGTCCGTGAGTTCGAGCCCCGCGTCAGGCTCTGGGCTGATGGCTCGGAGCCTGGAGCCTGTTTCCGATTCTGTGTCTCCCTCTCTCTCTGCCCCTCCCCCATTCATGCTCTGTCTCTCTCTGTCCCAAAAATAAAATAAACGTTGAAAAAAAAATTAAAAAAAAAAAAAAAGAAAGTAGACCCTCAAAGAGACAGCAAGTGAGAGAAAAGGCAAAAGCCACAGAAAGTAAATGTAGGGGTCTAATATCAGACTATCGGTGTTTACAATGTGGAAAAAACGTTTTTAAGGGAGTGGGAGGGATTATTAAAACGAAATAACATTAGAAGCTATCCCCAGAACTTTGTCTATAGATTAGAAGGCCAACAGAGTGTCAAATGTAATGAATGAAAAAGACCCACACCGAGGCATAGCACAGTGAAGTTTCAGAACTCCAAGAAGAAAGAGAAAATTGTAGAAGTTTCCAAAGGGAGGGGAGAAAAATACAATCATTAGGTACAAAGATAACATGTGCATTAGACTCTTCATTAGCAAATCTGGATGACACAAAATGCTGGATCAAAGTCTTCAAAGTCCTGAGGATAGTTTCCTGCTATCTGAACTTATGCTCTCCAAACTCATGAATCAAGTAGATGACCGTAAATCTTTTTGAGACATCCTTTACTAAGTGAATGTTTCCTATTTCCTCTCTGAAACTCAGGAACCAAATTTACTTAGCTAACCAGAATATCCATGGCTAAACAGACTCATTGGCCACTGTGGAATTAAAAGATTTGGATTTCAGGAGGTACTTGCCTTTTCAACCTATAATTCTGTAGGTCAAATTGTCCTCACATGTGAGGTTTAAAACAATTTTTCTTAAACATTTATTTATTTTTGAGAGACAGGGCAGGACAGAGCATGAGTGGGGGAGGAGTGAAGAGAGGAGGCAGGGGCGGGGGGGGGGGGGGGGG